ATTTATAATTATCACTAGAATACATTAGGGTGAATAAACTTTTTTCCTAGGTGGTCGGGAAGGAGTCTTTATATTAGTAAGATTAAAAATTATTTTAACCCCCAAAACAATAGACAAAAAATATTTTTAGTAAAAAAAATCAGGTGAGTCACTTTTATCGAACAGCACTATATATATATATATATATATATATATATATATATATGAGGCTAAAACACTAATATTCCATGGTTTTAATTTATTACATTGGAATCGTTATCACGATCTAATTCATCAGACCCACAAATTCAAAAAGAAATCGGAAAATATAACTCCGGGTATAAAAAACAAAATTTTAGTGAGAGCGTAAGTGTGGGAGTGGAAAACAAGTGTGAGAGGGAAATGTATGAAAGCTCTAGAGAGAGGGTGTGACAGAAGAAAGAAGAACAGGAAAAGCCTAAAGGTGAAGGTGGGGATTCAAATTTAACAGAGAGAAGTTTTAAAGAGAGGAGTTAAATAACGGTTTAAATGAGTGAGATACAGGTAAATATGAATTATTTTTCGATGCATAATTCGCTACCGAAACGCTGACCTAAATTAAAATAAAAAAAACAGACACCGGAAATGTATGGATACATTTGTGGTGATACTATGCACAATAAAAAATGATATGATCTAAACTTAAAATCTAGAAGATGAGAGGGAGAACGGAGGAAAAAAATGGGGGGTGGATAAAAACGAAGAGCATTTATAAGAGAAACGATGTGTAATCAAGAAAATTTGACAAAGCAAATAATATGACCTACAGGTTACCAATTTAACATAAACATATAAAATCTAGGTAATATTTAATCTAGTAAGGACCTACTATTTTAAAAAAAACAGACATTATTGTTTCATCCGTGTATTGGTTGATATATTGAAAAGTAATTGTCATCTTTGATAATGGCTTATGTAAGCCGAAAGCTTAGATCAAATTTAAACATGTATCAATATGGTGATTTCCTTTCGTCTTTCAATGATAATGTTATTAAGCTTATCAGACAATATGAAAAGAACTTACTTAAAATAAATAGTCAAAACTTGTCTATATTATTTAATGAAACATGCATTAATATATATATATATATATATATATATATATATATATATATATATATATAAACATGCATTAATATATATATAGTTGTCAATTTTTTCAATTACAAAGCGGCCCTTTAAGTAAACGCAATTTTACTTTCCTTCGTCTCATCTCTCTCCCCCACCTCGTCTTTTTTTCCCTTTTATTCTAACATTAGATCGTCTATGGTGTGTGTATGTCACCACGAAATGTATCTTTATGCATTAGACATCCGACAACATTCATTTTTTTTCTCTTCTTAAACCCTTCCACCCACCTCCCTAATATTCTCTCTGTTAAGGTTTAATCTCCTCCTCCCCTCATACTTACACTCTCTCTAAATTCTGTTTTTTTATTTCCGGAGTTGTTTTTTCTGTTTTCCTTTTGAATTTGTAGGTCTGATGAATTGGATCGTATTTACGATTCCAATGGAATAAATTATGACTCATATGGAATATTAGTGTTTAAGCCTTTTATTATATATATATATATATATATATATATATATATATATATATATATATATATATATATGTTGGTAGGTATTCGAGGTGGAACTGGTTGCTGTCAGTTTTCAGCATTCCGTGAAACTGTTTTCAAGGAAATAAAAAGAAATGTTTGCAAGCAAAAGCAGAAAACAAATTTCACTCTTTCTGTTATCTAATTTTGCATCTGTTTCTTCATGAAAATAAAAATTCTCCTCAGTGCCTTGGGATGTAACAGGGTTGATATTGGAATGTTAAATTATGATTTTATTCTGTCGTTTAAGTCAACAAGTTGCACCAAACCCTTATCTGAAATAGAAGCCACGCCATGTCTTTTTTTTCTTATGCTGATTTTAACTTCAAGCCATTTCCATAAATAAACAACCCCCCCCAAAAAAAAGAAAAATTATGCAACATTTGCAAATATATATATGCTAGCCTTGCAGATCATGAATTAATCTCTAATACGTCATGTCCCTTCAGGATATAGGTGATCATGGTCCTCCTCAACTTCAAAGCAATATTTGTAAAACAACTGAAATTAAACATGTACAAAAGAGTTCTTTTTACATGTCTTCAGGACGTGGGCGATCATGGTCCTCCCTAACGTCCCCTCCTTTCTTGATCAAAACAATATTTGTAAAGCAAGTGAAATGGAACATCACTAAATATACAAAAAAAAAAAAAAATCAAACATGTGCCTTGTCCCTTCAGGCCGTGAATTTTCATGTCCCTCCACATCTTCTATAGCAAATGGACAATCACTAAATAAACAAAAGTTTACTTCTTTTAAGCGTTACGTCCCTTCAGGATATGGGTGGTCATGACTCTCCACAACTTCCTATCTGTTGTAGCTCAAAGCAATATTTGTAGAGCAAGCGGAAAGGACCGTCATTAAATTTCTAAAAAATAAATCTCATACCATCTTAATAATGGCATGTCCCCTCTCAGATCATGGCTCTCCACTACTTCCTACTCTTGGAGTTTAAGTAATGTTTGTAGTGGAAGTGAAATGGATAATCACTAAATATACAATATATTTCTTTTATGTGCCGTTTTCCTACAGAACGTAGGTGATCATGGTACTCCACAGTTTCCTATCCTTTGTAGCTCTTTATTTCTCTCTTACGCCCCTTCCCAGGACCTTTTCTGTCATCCAATTAATTATATGGGTTATTCGATTTTTCCCTCTGACTCTCTTTGTCTTCGATATGGCCTGGAGAATTTCACACTCGCATTACATATTTCCTACTTAAACGAGTGGCAAGCGAACATATTTTTCTTTAACTTCCCACATATAATTTGATAGTGTTGTGCTCTTTATGCAATTGAGCTCTTCAACAATCGAGGTAAATTGACTAAGTAACAAATTACGAAAATAAATAATTAATGGAAAAGAATCACACACACACACACATATATATATATGTGTGTGTGTGTGTGTGTGTGTGTGTGTGTGTGTGTGTGGTGTGTGTGTGTGTGTGTGAAAATATATAGAAAATAGGAAAGAACTCGTTAGGTAAATATTCCAAAGTTATATTGAAGTTTTCGGTTCTTGTTTTGAAACATGAAAACTCTTGTGTAGCGATGGAATCATATTTTAAAATAAATAATTATATATATATATATATATATATATATATATATATATATATCGACTGTATACGAAAATCCGGGTTTACAGAGATGTTGTCTTTGTCATCCTTCTGTACGGCTCAGAGTCGCGGACTCCATACAGGTACCATATACGCCAGCTGGATATTTTCCATAAAAGCTGTCTGCGTGCCTTATGTAGAGTTAACCTTCAAGATAAGACATCTAATGTAGACCTGTTTAACAGGTGTAATATTGGAGGAATCGAGACTTTTCTCACACAGTCTCAATTACGGTGGACTGGTCATGTCTTGAGAATGTCTAATGACAGGATACCCAAGATCCTAATGTACAGACAGTTAGATCAGGGCCACAGGAATGTAGGACGCCCATGGCTAAGTTACAAAGACAAGCTGAAAAGCAGTTAATATAACACATAACACCCTTGAGCGCTTAGCCTTGGAGCGGGTAGAATGGAGATCAACGTGTTTTAGTGGACTCAGCAGTTTTCAATCTGCTTGTCTGAATCGACTTCAAGAAGCGAGAACAAGATCTAAAAGGCCAGCCAATCTAACAGTGATCTCATCCCAGAATCCTTACTCTTGCTCCATATGCCACTTAAAATTATCGGACAAAATTTCATAACTGAATCAATTGGTTGTCAGATCCTCATACGTCCAAACCGATGGGAGAATCCATTATATATATATATATATATATATATATATATATATATATATATATTTTTAAAGAGCACTACATTATTATTTTTAAAAATAAAGAAACAGACGACGTTGGGTGTAATAGAAAGGGAGGCGGTAGATGTGAAGAAGAAGAAGAAGAAGACTCGGGTATTGAACTCACACTCTTTGGGTTCTGTCACTGAATCTAACCAACACCTTTATCCACTGTGCCATGTGTCCTTGAGGACACCCGGTTAAGTCAGTGGAGAACTTGGAGAGGGGAATTAACAGGAGACAACTGATAACTGACTTTCATTAAACATGGCACGTGGAACTAGAACAGTCTACCCCAGTGACCGAAATAAAGGGTTCAGATCGACATTCCAAACACCTAAAGAAGGCCGGAGCGTAAAACGGCCGAAACGTTGTAATAAATATGGCGACAAAGATGAAGGCAATAGTCCGAATAATGTAAATAGTTTCAATATATTTTCTGTTTATAAGTTATTTTTATAGATATAATTTATTTAAATAAATGCTCTGGTTTTAATTAAACAGTACCAGTTATATTTACCGACCTGAATGTTCGAGAAATTTCTTAGAAAATATGCGCACTCCGACAGGACTCGAACCTGTGACCCCAATGTGAACAGTCATTTGGCCTGACGTGCTGTTAACTATTCAGCCACAGAGATGTGTCTGGCTAGCAAAGTCCGAATTACTGTTTATAAATATACATATTAATTGTAATTAATACTGTTTAATTAAAAAAAACGGAGGATTTACTTAAATAAATTATATTTATAAAAATACCGTATAAACAGAAAATATATTAAATAATTGCCAGATTTAATCCATTTCATAATGGGGATTTTCCAAGCAGCTTAGATGTGGCACAAGGCCGAAAGTATGGGGCGTCCTGTGAAGATCAAACTCACTAGTCAGTCGTAATGGTTCTAGCGAAACAAGCTTGCTAACCGTTGCACCACGTCGCCCAATCCATTTGGTCATATATTTTCATTGTTAAAGCTATGGTTCATGAGCAGATATGATCGTTGGAGAAAAATCGTGGAAGTGACCAGGCTGCTGGGTTAAGGATGCTCTTGTTGAGTCACCATCTTTCTAGATAATCAAACATAAATGCTTTCTATCGAACCATTAGTTGTGGGCTTGTGGAGATCTATGTACGCAAACGCCGATGGCTTCAAAGCAATTTTGTCTATTTAATAGGGGAACAGTCATTTGATCCAGTTAACAGCATGTCAGATCAAATAACTGTTCTCATTGGGGTTACAACTCTTATGTCTGTCGGAGAAGCACATATTTTCTATGAAATTTCTCAAACATTCGACCAGGTAAATGTAATTAATACTGTTTAATTAAACAAAAACAAAGAATTTACAAAAATAAATTATATCTATAAAAATAAAACAAAGTGATTCTATGGAAACATTAGTTATGGGCTTGTGGCTGTATATACGCGTAAAAGTTGATGGCTTCAAAATGATTTTGTCTACCAAATTTTAATCACAAATTTCGAGTCAATCTGCAACATGGTTTGGGGGAATTTTTCGTACCAAAAGATAGTGAATTAATGTCTCATAAAGTCTTGTTAGAGAAGTGATTTCGCCATCAATTAGATTAACATTACTGTTTAATTCTTTGTATAAATTCTTTCTTTATGATATAAAATATAAGCTGCACACTCTAATACACACACACACACACACACACATATATATATATGTGTGTGTGCGTGTGTGTGTTGTACAAGGATATTGTTTCTCGGAAGATTCTCTTGACTTTCTTATTTCTATAGCGAATATATATATATATATATATATATATATATATATATATATCGGCTTGGATTGAGGAATCGGAGAGCCGAGTTCGAATTCAAGTCGAATCCATTACATTCACTTACGTACTAATACCCTTGGGAAAGGTATGAATCCTCTTCTTCTCCCTCCAGCTATTGGTAAATAGAAGGACAGACTGGGTTCTATAGCCTTGGATGGCAACTGGTCTAGGAGAAAGACAACTCTGAATTCTTTTTTTCTATCTATCTATCTATCTATCTATCTATCTATCTCAGTCTGTTCATATCTCTCTAATTCATTCTATCTATCTATCTATCTATCTATCTCAGTCTGTTCATATCTCTCTAATTCTTTCTATCTATCTATCTATCTATCTATCTATCTATCTATCTATCTATCTATCTATTTTAGTCTGTTCATTATCTATCTCAAAAGTCAAATAGCTGATCATTCATCCCCAGGGATGCTGGTCTGCTAGGGCGACGAGCCAATCCCCGTTGCAGGCACCAGCTGAGGCACATTCTGCGTTTATTCAATATCCAAAGAGCCCAGCTGTGGTTTACACTGCAACTCTGCTGAGCGGACCTTAATTACAATCTCTGGGAGAGAGCGCCTTATCTAGTGTCATCAACAGGCCGAAGAAGGCCAGCACACTCAAACCCTCGGTCACGATGACTTGTGACTTCATGCTAGCACAACTATCAACGACTCCCAGATAGTTCCACTCATAAGTATTGGGCCAACCGGTTGTGGCCGAGTGGTTAGAACGCTCGTTTTCTGACTATGGGACCCGGGTTCGAATCTTACCATGGCCGATTTGTCAGGAAGGCGACTTCTTGATGTTATCCGTTTCGAGAAGGCAATTTGAAATATGCCTGAAAACTATCTATTTATTTGGAAACTAGATCAATGAAACACGTACGAAGTTAAGCAACGACAAGCCTGGTCAGTGCTTACATGGGTGACCACTTTGAATTACCAGGTTCACGTTTGGGTGTACGGCTGGTATAATAACTCGGAATTGTTAATCGGAGAGCCGAGTTCTAATTCCCGTTGGGTTCATTATATTTACTTAAGCGCAAATACCCTTGGGAAAGATATGAATACATCTCTTCCCGCCTTCTCTCTATAATTAGGAAAACTTGTAATGACTGAATCATTATTATCTAAAAAACAAAAAAATTCTTACAGTGTAAAAATATTTTTTGGCTTTAAATTACCTGCAACGGGTTGATAAGCCGTAAAAAACGAATGAAACTCAATTTTAAATGGAACCGAATCAATGGGGCGTATTTATGGTGATTGATTTTGTGATATATCGATTGTTGGGTTATTTATGTTATTAGAGTCCGTTCTTGTATAAGGCTCCTTAACTTGGACACTAACAGTCAAAACTGGAAAAGAGTTTAGATGGTACTTACACACGAAGGCTTTGAGCAGCACTAAACGAATTCTGGAACGATTACCAAAGAAATAACTCTACCTCTCATCAGCAAATTAAAAATGATGTCAACATCAGACTGGGAAAAGACTGAAGAGCGCTTAATGAAATGAATAAAATCTGTATATAAAATCTACCGGATAAAACTAAAGGGAAACCTTTTCAGAGCTACATAAGAGGCCGTCCTTGTATAAGGTTCTTTAACCTTGACGATATTCAGTCACCCCCCCCCACGAGGGTGTCATGTGGCACAAGGCCTTTTTAACGTGGGCATTCCGAGCCCGTGGGCTCGGCCCAAAAATATGCCCATTGAACCCGTATAAACGGGATCAGGGCCGGGTTTACCTCCCCGAAGGAGACTCCGCTCTTCGGCGTAGCCTCCTTCGGGTTCCTAGGAAGAAAGTTTTCGCTCAGAAAGTACTGGGTCGACTGACGATATTCAGTCACCCCCCCACGAGGGTGTCATGTAGCACAAGGTCTTTTTAACGTGGGCATTCCGAGCCATTAGGCTCGGCCATAAAAATAGCCCATTTGAACCCGTATAAACGGGTTCAGGGCCGGTTTTACCTCCCCGAAGGAGACTCCGCCCTTCGGCGTAGCCTCCTTCGGGTTCCTCCCGTCCGTAGGAAGAGAGTTCAACCGAACAGTCGCTCAAAAAGTACTGGGTCGACTTGACACTGACAGCAAAACTGGAAAAGAGGCGCTTACAAATCCTGGAAAGATCAACATACCTCCCATCAGTAAATTAAAACGCCGACAAAGATTGCTGATCACACGTAGCAAAGACGAACTAGGTGGAGTGTTTTATTCTGGATACTATCCTGTTGAAAAAAGAACACAAGGTCGACCAAAGAAGATGTACATTGATCATCTCATTGAAGACACGAATGCAGATAGGATGACCTTCCAAATGCACTTAACGGCAAGAATGGATGGAAGCAGTTTGTGATGGAACCATGAACTTGCTCGACCTGATGATGATCATTAGACAGGAGCAATATACGAGGTTCGAACTTAGAATAACCGTTCACCCAGACTGTAATCGCTAACAATAGCTGATGTTAACCGTCAGTCCCTTGACTCATTGTGCTTTCTGGGTCTAACCGTTTCCGCTGACATAAAGTGGAAAGATTATATCGCATCAATTTCTCAGTTTGCAGCTTGGATAGTGTTGTGGGGTATTTTCACAGTGGAGGCTTGTATTTCTAATAAGTCATCCTAAATTAGGTCCGACGTACAAAACGTTAGGAACTTGGAAAATAAGAGTCAATGGCGCAGCAATCTAGTTGTGATGGTTGGTACTTCAAATGTCCGAATCTCGACTGACACGCTCAACACCATTCAGTATTTATCGTTCCACCCACGAGGACCGAATATAGCACAAGGCCGGTTTAAATGTGGGTATCCCCGAGCCCGTAGACCCGGCCAAAAATATCGCCTTTGAACCCGCCTAGACGGGTTCAGGCCCCTGTCTACCTCCCCGGACGAAAACTTGCACTTCGGCAAAGCCTCGTCGGGTTCCCTCGTCAGAGTTCGACAGAAGGCGTGCGCAGTCAGAGACCGCTCAACACCATTCGGTATTTATCATTTCAAGAAACGAGATGGCACAAGGCCGGTTTTATTGTGGGTTTCTCCGAGCCCGTAGACGGGTTCAGGCCCTATCTACCTCCCGGACGAAACCGCCCTTCGGCAAAGCCTCGTCGGGTTCCTCTCTGCTAACGCAGGCGTGCGCAGTCAGAGACCGCTCACCACCATTCGGTATTTATCATTTCACCCACGAGAAACGAATATGGCACAAGGCCGGTTTTATTGTGGGTTTCTCCGAGCCCGTAGACGGGTTCAGGCCCTGTCTACCTCCCCGGACGAAACCTCGCCCTTCGGCAAAGCCTCGTCCGGGTTCCTCTCTGCTAACGCAGAGAGTTCGACAGGAGGCGTGCGCAGTCAGAGACCGCGAGACGCCATTCGGTATTTATCATTTCACCCACGGGGAAACGAATATGGCACAAGGCCGGTTTTTATTGTGGGTATCCCCGAGCCCGTAGGCTCGGCCAAAAATAGCCTTTGAAGCCGATTAGACGGGTTCAGGCCCTATCTACCTCCCCGGACGAAACCTTGCCCTTCGGCAAAGCTTCGTCGGGTTCCTCTCTGCTAACGCAGAGAGTTCGACAGAAAGGCGTGCGCAGTCAGAGACCGCTCAACACCATTCGGTATTTATCATTTCACCCACGGAAACGAATATGGCACAAGGCCGATTTTATTGTGGGTTTCTCCGAGCCCGTAGGCTCGGCCAAAAAAAATAGCCTTTTGAAGCCGATTAGACGGGTTCAGGCCCTGTCTACCTCTCCGGACGAAACTTTGCCCTTCGGCAAAGCCTCGTCCGGGTTTCTCTCTGCTAATGCAGAGAGTTCGACAGGAGGCGTGCGCAGTCAGAGACCGCGAGACGCCATTCGGTATTTATCATTTCACCCACGGAAACGAATATGGCACAAGGCCGGTTTTATTGTGGGTTTCCCCGAGCCCGTGGCTCGGCCAAAAAAATAGCCTTTGAAGCCGATTAGACGGGTTCAGGCCCTGTCTACCTCCCGGACGAAACCTCGCCCCTTCGGCAAAGCCTCGTCGGGTTCCTCTCTGCTAACGCAGAGAGTTCGACAGAAAGGCGTGCGCAGTCAGACCGCTCAACACCATTCGGTATTTATCATTTCACCCACGAGACGAAAGGCCGGTTTTATTGTGGGTTTCTCCGAGCCCGTAGACGGGTTCAGGCCCTGTCTACCTCCCCGGACGAAACCTCGCCCTTCGGCAAAGCCTCGTCCGGGTTCCTCTCTGCTAACGCAGAGAGTTCGACAGGAGGCGTGCGCAGTCAGAGACCGCGAGACGCCATTCGGTATTTATCATTTCACCCACGGGAAACGAATATGGCACAAGGCCGGTTTTATTGTGGGTATCCCGAGCCCGTAGGCTCGGCCAAAAAATAGCCTTTGAAGCCGATTAGACGGGTTCAGGCCCTATCTACCTCCCGGACGAAACCTCGCCCTTCGGCAAAGCCTCGTCGGGTTCCTCTCTAACGCAGAGAGTTCGACAGAAGGCGTGCGCAGTCAGAGACCGCTCAACACCATTCGGTATTTATCATTTCACCCACGAGAAACGAATATGGCACAAGGCCGGTTTTTGTGGGTTTCTCCGAGCCCGTAGATGGGTTCAGGCCCTGTCTACCTCCCGGACGAAACCTCGCCCTTCGGCAAAGCCTCGTCCGGGTTCCTCTCTGCTAACGCAGAGAGTTCGACAGAAGGCGTGCGCAGTCAGAGACCGCGAGACGCCATTCGGAATTTATCATTTCACCACGGAAACGAATATGGCACAAGGCCGGTTTTATTGTGGGTATCCCCGAGCCCGTAGGCTCGGCCAAAAAAATAGCCTTTGAAGCCGATTAGACGGGTTTCAGGCCCTGCCTTCCCCGGACGAAACCTTGCCCTTCGGCAAAGCTTCGTCAGGTTCGGGTTCTAACGCAGAGAGTTCGACAGAAGGCGTGCGCAGTCAGAGACCGCTCAACACCATTCGGTATTTATCATTTCACCCACGGGAAACGAATATGGCACAAGGCCGATTTTATTGTGGGTTTCTCCGAGCCCGTAGGTTCGGCCAAAAAAAATAGCCTTTTGAAGCCGATTAGACGGGTTCAGGCCCTGTCTACCTCCCCGGACGAAACCTCGCCCTTCGGCAAAGCCTCGTCCGGGTTCCTCTCTGCTAACGCAGAGAGTTCGACAGAAGGCGTGCGCAGTCAGAGACCGCTCAACACCATTCGGTATTTATCATTTCGAGAAACAAGGCCGGTTTTTTGTGGGTTTTCAAAAGCCCGTAGATGGGTTCAGGCCCTGTTACCTCCCCGGACGAAACCTCGCCCTTCGGCAAAGCCTCGTCTGGTTCCTCTTAACGCAGAGAGTTCACCCAGTCGACCGCGAGACGCCATTCGGATTTATCATTTGGAAACGAATATGGCCAAGGCCGATTTTATTGGGGGTTTCTCCGAGCCCGTAGGTTCGGCCAAAAAAAATAGCCTTTTGAAGCCGATTAGACGGGTTCAGGCCCTGTCTACCTCCCGGACGAAACCTCGCCCTTCGGCAAAGCCTCGTGCCTTAACGCGGCAAAGTCAGAGACCGCTCCAACACCATTCGGTATTTATCATTTCACCCACGAGAAACGAATGGCGGCAAAGGCCGGTTTTAATGCAGACGGGAGGCCCCGTCTACCTCCCCGGACGAAAGGAGGTTCCTCTCTGCAGAGAGTTCGACAGGAGGCGTGCGCAGTCAGAGACCGCGAGACGCCATTCGGTATTTATCATTTCACCCACGGGAAACGAATATGGCACAAAGGCCGGTTTTATTGTGGGTTTCTCTGAGCCCATAGGTTCGGCCAAAAAAAAATAGCCTTTTGAAGCCGATTAGACGGGTTCAGGGTCTTCCCCGGACGAAACCTCGCCCTTCGGCAAGCCTCGTCGGGTTCCTCTCTGCTAACGCAGAGAGTTCGACAGAAGGCGTGCGCAGTCAGAGACCGCTCAACACCATTCGGTATTTATCATTTCACCCACGAGAAACGAATATGGCACAAAGGCCGGTTTTTTGTGGGTTTCTCTGAGCCCGTAGGCTCGGCGAAAAAAAAAATAGCCTTTTGAAGCCGATTAGACGGGTTCAACTACCTCCCGGACGAAACTTTGCCCTTCGCAAAGCCTCGTCAGGTTCCTCTGCTAATGCAGAGTTCGACAGGAGGCGTGCGCAGTCAGAGACCGCGAGACGCCATTCGGTATTTATCTTTTTCACCCACGGAAAGAATATGGCACAAGGCCGGTTTTATGTGGGTTTCCCCGAGCCCGTAGGCTCGGCCAAAAAATAGCCTTTTGAAGCCGATTAAACGGGTTCAGGCCCTGTCTACCTCCCGGACGACTTTGCCCTTCGGCAAACGGTTCCTTTAACGCAGAGAGTTCGACAGGAGGCGTCCGGTCAAAGATCGCGAGACGCCGTTCGGTATTTATCTTTTCACCCACGGAAAGAAATGGCTAAGGCCGGTTTTATGTAGGTTTCCCCGAGCCCGTAGGCTCGGCCAAAAAATAGCCTTTTGAACGCCGATTAAACGGGTTCAGGCCCTGCCTACCTCCCCGGACGAAACCTTGCCCTCGGCAAAGCCTCGTCCGGGTTCCTCTGCTAATGCAGAGAGTTCGACAGGAGGCGTCCGCAGTCAGAGTCCACGCCGTTCTGCCAGAATAGGTCCCTACTTATTATCTATGGGAGAGTCCATTACAATAGAATAGGTACCTAACAGATAGTTAGTTCCCTGTGGTATGCTGGACAATTTTCTCTGAAGAATTTATCATGCATATTTATAAGTCTACACTTTGTTCATGCATTGACTATTTTTGCCACATCTAGTCTGGTGCTTCTGCTATGCATTTAGAGATTCTTTACAAGATCCAAAGAAGAATCTGTCAAGTTATCGGTCCTAATCTGGCATCTCAGTTACAGGCCCTTTCCCACTGCCATTACCTATCTTCCGGGCACATTTTCTGTAAATATGGTAATTGTTCTGATGAGCTTTCCACCTAGACTTTATGAATATAAATAAAATATATCTGTAACGATATCATAAATAAAAGAAAAGACAAGTAGAAAACCGTTTACGCGAACACGATTCGTTCCATGAGGAACGATAGCATTTTCGGTAAAGTCCCAGAAGGAAGCAAATCAGTTTTTCAACATGCGAAATTTATGGTGATAGAGAATCTATCTATCTATCTATCTATCTATCTATCTATCTCAGTCTATTCATATCCATCTATCTGTCTATTCATATTAATCTATCTCAGTCTATTCATATCCATCTATCTATCTATCTATCTATCTATCTATCTATCTATCTATCTAATTCTGCCCGTTATCTCTCTCCCCACCTCTCTCTCTCCCTATCTATCTATCTATCTATCTATCTATCTATCTATCTATCTATCCCATTCTCTCCATTAACTAATTCTGCCCATTATCTCTCTCTATCTATCTATCTATCAGATTCTCTCCATTATCTGTAATTCTGCCCATTATCTCTCACCTTCCCTCTCTCTTTCTGTCTGTCTGTCTGTCTGTCTGTCTCTCTCTCTCTCTCTCTCTCTCTCTCTATCTATATATATATATATATATATATATATATATATATAATAATAATAAAAAGGCTTAAACACTAATATTCCATGGTCATAATTTATTCCATTGGAATCGTAAATACGATCCAATTCATCAGACCTACAAATTCAAAAAAAAAAAAAACAACTCCGGAAATAAAAACAGAATTTAGAGAAAGTGTAAGTATGAGGAGGAGGGACATGAAACCTTAACAGAGAGAATTTTAGAAGAGGTGGGTGGAAGGGGTTTAAGTTTTCATAATTTATTCCATATTTACCACTAATATTATCTATCTATCTATCTATCTATCAATCTATATATATATATATATATATATATATATATATATATATAGCTATCTAGGAATCTCATTCTGTCCATTATCTCTTTCTAGCTATCTTTCTCATTTTGTCCATTATCTATCTATCTATCTATCTATCTATCTATCACTGTCTGTCTATCACTATCTGTCTATCACTGTCTGTTTTTTCTATCTATCTATCTATCTATCTATCTATCTGTCTGTCTGTCTGTCTGTACACGGAGTTAATGGCAAAATCTGAACGTAAAAATTATTATAGTCGGTAATTTGTTCAAATCGTGGTAAAGTTGATTCAAGCCGACATTTTTTTCAGCACGTACTCGTGTAGCTGAGTGCGTCTGCGTGCGTGTATGATTGTTTTTCTACACGGCACATATATACTTAAAAAAACACACACACACAAAAACAAGTAGTAACGTGAATGCACAGAAAGAGAAACAGTACACGCCTCCCACCCCACACGGAATCCCCAAACTTTAGACAAACAAATCCACACGTGCTTCTAATCTGCCCAGGGGGAAGAAAGACAGACTTCGTCTTAGCTTTGCTTTTTCCTTCTGTGCTGATCTACGCCATGTCAGGCTTTTCTTTTTTTTCGCCCACTTAATGGTGAGGATGACTTATGTCTTCTGCATTTAGCGAATGCTAAAAATACGACCCCAAGTTGTTTTCTTTTTATAGGCGATTGACAATCCAGGCCGATTTGCTGAGGCTTGCAGTTTTCTCGGATTGAGTAATTAAATGTATCTAGACTGTTCTTATCTATCTATCTATCTATCTATCTATCTATCTATCTATCTATCTATCTATCTATCCCTTTCTCTCCATTATCTAATTCTGCCCATTATCTCTCTCTCTCTCTCTATATATATATATATATATATATATATATATATCTGTAGTTTACTGCTGCTACCAGCAAGCAGAAATATTTCTTCTCCTGATGATGGCCATTTTGGCCGAAACTAGTCGAGGAATCTAAATGAAATAATAATAAAAAAATTAAATAAAATAAAAATAAAAAAAAACAAAAAACAAAAAAAAGAAACGAAAGAATATTAATCTACAACCCAGTGTGTCTCAAGATTTAAATTTTTTAATATTTTTTTTATTGTTCAATATATATATATATATATATATATATATATATATACAATCTCGTTCTGTCCATTATCTCTTTCGATCTATCTAGCTATCTTTCTCGTTTTGTCCATTATCTATCTATCTATCTATCTATCTATCTATCTATCTATCTATCTATCTATCTGTTTCGGTATGTTCATCTCTCTCTCACTCTGACCCTATCTATGTCAACCAGATCATTATCTATCTATCTATCTATCTATCTATCTATCTATCTATCTATCTATCTGTCTGTCTGTCACGGTCTGTTCATTATCTATCGAGCTATATTTCGTATAGAGAAAAATGTCAAAATTTCCTTCTTTCCGTGGCCTCAGAGTAAGATATCTGATTGTATCTGTCTATACATGTCTATACACTGTCCTCAAGGACACATGGCACAGTGGATAAAGGTGTTAGTTAGATCCAGTGACAGGACCCAAAGAGTGTGAGTTCAATACCCAGTTAAGGCAGTGGAGAACTTTCAGAGGGAAATTAACGGGATATAACTGATAACTGACATTTATTAAACATGGCACGGAGAACTAGAACAGTCTACCCCAGTAAGCGAAATAAAGGGTTCAGTTCGACATTCCAACGACCTGAAGAAGGCCGGAGCGTACAACGGCCGAAACGTTGTAATAAATATGGCGACAAAGATTAGGACAATAGTCCGAATAATGTAAATAATGTAGATATCTGATTGATATCAAATAAGTCGGGTTTCGATCCCGGCTTGAAGCAATCAGACATCCATCTAGCCACACTGAGGAGCTGTGATACAGCGAAACAGTCTCTCTGTGGATGCCTATATATATATATATATATATATATATATATATATACACACACACACACTGGGTGCGATAGGTAAATTGTCGCCATTTTATATTTTTAATTTTGCGATTTTGACGACTGCCCATTTAGTAGGATCAGTTGGACTCCGTCTGTGAGAAAAATGCTGTACTGCTTGGCATTCACGCCCGAAGCTCCAATATGAACATTTCAGAGTCTTTGGGTGTCAATCTGAGGAGAGTGCAGAGGATTCGGAAAGAGTGAAATGAGTCTAATGATGATTACGAAGATACGGCAGCTCGGAAAACTAATTCTGATCGTTCAGATAGGAAAAAGAACTCCCGAATTTGTTGACAAGGGCCTCAGACTCAACACAAAGGCCTACGTCAAGTTCCTTCAGGGGTTAGTGCTGCCTTGAGTCACGTGGTTGGCTGCTGTAAGATCCTACGTCTGACAGGACTCCATGCCAAACAAGGAGGTGAATCCAGTCATAGCTGCCAGACAATTTCTACGACCACATCACCCTTAACATCTGGTGACATAAATCCCCAAACTGCAACCCTTCATTATTACGTGTGGGTCACAGTTGAGCTAGAGACGAACAAAACTCCTTGTAACATCAAAGATAAATTGAAGGCAAGGGTTATGGCAGCATTCACCAAGGAGACCGTCCAGAAGAGTTGCAGGAGATTCCGAAGTCGTCTGAAAGTGGCTGAAGCCAATGGCGATTTTTATTAAATAAATTTCCTCTTTGGTATTTCCAGATATTTTGTCTAACTGTAGTAAATATATCTGTTAAAATGAAATGTCAGCGTTATCTTTTATTTTTGGCGTAATCTAAAGGACAGTTTATCTATCACACCCATATATATATATATATATATATATATATATATATATATATATATATAGACTCTTCGGCAAAAGCGAATTGAGTCAGTGTCGGTCACTGTGTGTGTTTATCTAAAAATAAATACGCTAAAATTCACCTTCATCCCTGTCGTGCGCCGACGGTCTAGTGGTAGAATCTCCGATTGACACCAATTGGGTTTCGATCCTAGCTAGAGGCAACCGGATGTCTAGCCACACTGAAAAGCTGCGAAACAGTCTGTGGATGACTTTATATATATTCGCATTTCATTGAAAACGGCAGACAAGGTGCTTTTATTTAGTTTTTTATACAATTTCTCATGCGATCTAATAATTTTTTTCTTTTCGGATGATAGATGATATAAAAACTGTTGCATATTCATGTCCGTAGACACCCTGTGGAATATGCGGCCACAGTTATCAAGTCCCTTAGACACCCTGTGTTGTATGGCACCGCAGCTTTCAAATCCCGTACTCTACTTGAGGAGTAGGAGCCATTGCTCTCAATTCCCATATACTCCCGTATGTGTATGGGGTCACAGTACGCATGTCTCGTAGACTCCCTGAGGAGTAAAGGGCCACAACTCTCAAGTTCAGTGCACTCCAAGATAAGTATGTGGCCACAACTCTCAGGTCTCGTAGATTCCCTGAGGAGTAAGGGGCTAGAGCTCTCAAATTCAGTGCACTCATTGAGGAGTATGGGCCATAACTCTCAAGTCCCGTAGACTCACTGATGAGTTGGGGCAACAGAACTCAATTCCTGTAGAATCCTTGAGGAGTATAGGGTCACAGATCTCAAGTCCAATAGTTCAATGAACAGCACACAAGTCCCATGAGAAGTTTGGGACCACAGCTCACAATTTCTGCAGACCTCCTGAAGAGTATGCGGCTACGTGTCTCAAATCTCCTACACACTTTGGGGAGTATGGGGTCACAGTTCCCATGTTCCGTAGACTCCACGAGGAGTTTGGGGTCACGGTTCTCAAGTTCCATAGTCACCCCCCCCCCTTAGGAGAATGGGCCCACAGATCTCAATTCCTGTAAACTCCTTGAGGAGTATGGGGCCAGAACTCTCAAGTCCCGGGGCAACAGAGCTCAATTCT